CCGTCATACTATGCTACGAGTACCCCCAATATATCGAATACCCCCCATGCTCGAATGCATCGTCTCTCTCTTTCTCTTGTCGAATCTCGTTTCTCTCTTTCTCTCTTCTCTTACAGAATAAAAATCGACCCCCAAACACTTCCTTCATTGCAAGTTCATCACAAAGTCACGGTGAAACGCAAAAGACTCCTTGCTATTAGCTTTCGTCAAGAAATCTGCATGCGGAAATTGCGTCGGCACATGAGTAATTGATATCTCATTCCTCTCTACCAGCTCCCTGATAACGTGATGCCGTACATCGACGTGCTTCGAGTTGGAGTTCGTGATCGGGTTGTGCGCAATCCGAATCGCTCCCTGATTATCCTCGAACACCGGAATGCACGGCATACCTGCATCTGGCAACATAAAACGCCACACCTGCCTCAGGAACAACACTTCCTTCAAGACATCGGCAATTGCCACATACTCTGCTTCCGTGGTGGAAAGCGTGACACACTTTTGTGTCCTCGAAAACCAAGTCACACACCCTCCCCCACACATCACTAGCCCTCCTGACACCGATCTACGGTCTGTCGCTTTGCTTGCATAGTCGGCATCCACAAACACCTGCATGCTCATCCCAGTCACCACTCCCCTCTCAAATGTAATCCCCATCCAACTCGTCCTCCGTAGGTACCCTAAAATACCGAGTGCTACCTTCCAGTGCACCATTTTGGGAGATGCACAATACCGCGCTACTGCTCGTACTGCGTTCGCGATGTCCGGCCTTGTTTGAGTGGCCAACCACATCAGAGATCATACCAACTCGCGAAAAGGGACATCAGCGCACTCTTCGTTCTCGTCAAAGTCGATGAGCTTCACGCTCACAGGCAAGGGCACGCTCCTCCCCCACTCAACGCCGTATTCTGCAGCAAACTCTTCGGCAAACCTCTGATGCGAAATCCTCAACAGCCCTCTCTATACGTCTCTCTCGTAAAATCACACGGAGCACCATCTCAACTCTCCAAGGTTCTTCACGGGGACCATCTCGTTGAGATCCCTGCCAAACTCGTCACACCACTCCTTCTGCCCTACGGCAAAAATTTCATCGACGTGGACCACAATGATCATGATCNACATGCATCTGCCAGACACTGCAAACAACCTACAAGTAACAAACACCTCGTCAGGTGCGCATGCCAATGTCGTGATGCCTGCTTCAAACCATACAGACTCTTGCACAGCTTCACGATCAGGCCAGATAACCTACCACACGCCTGCGGTAAGCGCATGAAGACATCCTCACCAAGCTCACACTGCACAAACGCCTGCTGAATATCGAAATGGCACAAGTCAAGATTTTGCTCACATGCTAACAAGCGCACACTAGACACTGAAACGGTGGGTGCAAACAATTCTCCGAAATCAATCGAAACCCTCTGCATGTCCCCCCGTGCTACAAGTCTTGCCTTGAATTTCGTCGGCCATCCGTACTCGTCTGCCTTACAGTTAAATACCCACTTTGCATTGATGGCGTTCTCTACTGGTTGCTACACCGGACGAAAAGTTCCTGCATCCAACAAACTGAAAAACTCTCTACCGACTGCATCATCCCACAACTCTGAATCTTTAGACCGCATGGCCTCCTTGAACGTTTTCGGCACGCGGAGGTCGCTGGCAAGGCAGTGAGGAAGGTCTGGCATCTTGTCGGGCGGGCGCTCGGCGCGAAGAGCGGCGTC